CAAATAAATTTAAATGTCATTTAACCAAATCTCCATACGGAAAATGCCCACGCTTAGGCTGTAGAGGAAACCAAGTCTACTTACGATCAAATGGTGACACGTATTTGTCACCAACAGTTATATATTCCATCTCACTGAAGAGGCCAATCCTCTCCATATCCGATTTCCCGCCTTCGGCAGGCATTGTGGCGTCTCCTGGAGGCGTTGCCTGTGTCAGTAACCTTAAAAGGTTCCTTTGGGCTACTTCTTTGACAGCTCAAGCTTACCCTGCAATGAAACATACAGGAGGGAATGTTCAGGAAAATGGTGATTACTAAATTTCAGTCTCAATGACCTTCAGTCTGAAAGTGGATGTTCTCTACAAAGCAGTAGGCCCAATCTAAGTGGGCAAAGAACCTGTTGAGTGGGGCGAAGGGGCTGGTGGTATTCAAAAGCCCTCCCTTTGCCTTTCCGGGTGAAATATCCATAAATTACAGCGTGTGTCTGATGGCCTTGTTGCATTGCCAGTCAGCTTCTGTAAATGATAAAAGTAAGACTGTAATAATTTCTAGTGAGGTATAAACACTGTGCAAACAACACATCCTTCCTGTGAGTGCAAACTAGATTTAAAAGGCATAATTCACTAGGGAAGGTGTTTTCGGTTTGGGTCAGGGGTCAGGGGTCAGGGGCCGGCAAACGGAGGCTCACCAGCCACATGTGACCGTCACCTCCACTTCTTCAAAATAGACTCGCCCAGGCCGAGTACCGACTTCTGTGCGTGGGCCACGAGGTTTCAGTCGCACTGTACGTGCACACCCGCACGTGGTATTCTGTGGAAGAGCCACACTCAAGGGGCCAAAGAGCCGCATGTGGCTCTCGAGCCGCTGTATGCCGACCATTGGTTTATATCAAATGACTTAAGGGTACTGCACTGTCCCTTATTCTGAAAATTAGAACTTCGTTTTTTCAGATTGCACAGTACATACGGGTATTACCCTCTAGGTCCTGCGTGTTTTTTTTCCAAATTTCATGGGGGGGTGGGGAGAGAACAATTTTCTAACCAAGATAAAAACAAAGAACAACAAAACAAACAAAAGTCCACACTTTGGGCAGGTTACTCGTACTTCACCGTGTCAAACCCTTTTGTTCCCGCAATTAACAATGAGCCTTTGTACTACTTAGTTCATTCATCGCTGTAATTCCTTCTATCGTAGCCACGTGTGCTTCTCTTCCCATGCCCTCATCATGGTTGCCTAATGGGTTATCATTTTACATCCACGTGTAGGGATCCTTTAACAATTGTCTTACCACACACTTGTTGGCTCTACAGAGGCAGGAATCAAGGCCTGAGCTTGGTTTTTATCTCAATACTAGAAGTCTGGTGCACCAGATTCATGCACTCAGAGGGGGTTCCCTCAGCCAGGCCCTCGCCCTCTCACAGCCTGGGACTCCTGGAGGGTGAGGAAAGATCCCGTCTGCTGGCTTAGGCCCGTAGGCCGGCAGGTGGACATCCCTCTCACAGTCCAGGATTCCTCACTCCCTACAGCCTGCCTGCAGTGGAAGCAGGAGAGGCTCCAGCCACCACTGTTGGGCTTGCCAGCTTTGAACCCAGCTTCTGGCTAAGCAGTACTCCCTGTGGGAGCACACTGACCACCAGGGGGCAGCTACATTGAGCATCTGCTCCCCTAGTGGTCAGTGTGCATCATAGCAACCGGTCATTCCTCTGTTCGGTCAATTTGCATATTAGGGTTTTATTATATAGGATTCCCAGTATCAGTGTCTGCACAGCCCCTGGTGCAACAAAGAGAAAACAGAAGTTCCTGCATTGAGTCTTTCCACGACTTAACTCTTCTTGAGCAACAGTTACAAAATCCTTTATTCGTTGGATTTAGCAAATTCATTGCAAACCCCTCTTCGGGGTAAGGCTCGTCGATAGGAGCTCAGAAAACTGAGATTTTTTAAAAGGCATAGATGCTGCGCCAGAGAGCTCCGCTGAACATAAGTAGAACGCAAGCAGAACGTGCCAAGCTCCCTCCGGAAGGATGGAGAAAGGTGCCTGGGGGTGGGGGTGGGGCGTGGGGAGGGGGTGGTGGAGGGGGTAGCAGAGGGTGGGGAGTTGCAGGAGAGGGTGGGGAGGGGGTGCGGAGGGGCTGAAAACTTCTGGCTAACGTGAGGAGGGGAAAGATTTCCCACGGAGGCTCAGAGTAGGTGGGTATCTAAAGGCCAACACCTGGCGGCTGCGAGGACCAAGTCACCTCTCAGAAGGGCACTCAGTCCGACCACCCAGACCAGATCGGCTCAGCTGCCGCAGAGCCCGGGGCTGCGAGCCGCCGGGAAGCACGCGATCGCCGCCCGAGACCTCGCCGCGCCGAGCAGCGCGCTGGGCGAACTGCGGGTGTTTATTGTGCCGCGTTGCCGGGGGGACGGGAGAATCCATTCCAAGGACGCTGCGGGGGACACGTAGAGACTTCGAAGCCTCATCGAGCTACACGCGGAAAGACTTAGGCATGGGTTGGGATACGGACGACTCAACCAATAAAGTATCCTTTTAGGTTACAATACGCTTTGTTGCACAATGAACTGCAACAAGACTTCCGCTTTCCGCCCTGTTATCTATCCTCCGGGAACTGTGGAATGGTACACACCCCTTGGACGCGTGCCGCGGGGCGTGCTGGGAGTTGTAGTCCTCGCTCCGAGCCCCCGCCCCTCGATAACGACACTTCCGGACCAGCCTCCTCCTGAGTCTCCGGGCGGTCGTCGGCGCCTCCGTCACCGCCACGTCGCAGCCATGGTGAGTACCTCTGCTCGCCTCCGACCCCTGGGACCTCGGCGGCCGCCACGCCTGCGGCCCCACGGCCCATGGAGGAGCCAGTCCCGCCGGGGCCCGCGATGGCAGCTGCGGGGGACTCCGTGGCTCGGGCCGCCCTGCCGGGTCCTCGGCCTCCCCGCTGGGGCCGGAAGGACCTTTTCCCCCAGCTCCGCCGGGTTTGGACCCGCGCTTCCGGCGCCTCCTCCCTGCGAATGCATTTTGCGAGGACGACGGATTATTCGGCGCTTTTGAAGGTTTCCAAGAAGGATTGCATCTTGGAAAGATGACCCAACTTTCTTCAAATCCTCGCTTCCCTTAGAAACAGTGATGTGACACTTCCGGTTTCCCTCGCGTGTGATTCCTCCGGGTCCTGCTGCCCCTGGTTCTGCAGGTGGCGGTGTCCGTCTGGGACCCGCTTCTCTTACCCCCCCCCCCCCCCCGTGCTTCCTCCCAGATGTGTGTCTCCAGCTTAACCCTTTATTCCGAGTTCCGTTTATTCCGTCTGCTGACCACAGCTCCACGTGGATAGCTCGTGTGTCTCAACCTCAGCAAGCTCTAAGCGGACGAATTTCCAGCTCACCTCTCTCTCCCCACGCCCGCTCCCACTCCAGGGACCCCACTTCCGTTACCTGTGCCACCCTGTCCTGCATCCAAAAACCTGGATGGCATCCCTGACATCTATCTCCCCTTTCTCAGCTCCTGAACAGTAATGAAGCTCTATGGAGTCCCATCTCCACGGCTGTCCATTCTCACTCTGGACTTTTGCCATCCTTGTCCTTGTCACCATCGTCTAACCGCCTGCCCAGTCTCTTACCTGGTCGTCTAAGCAGATCTTCCCCAACCTGGGCCGCGCCCCCCACCCCCACCCGCATCTCTCCTTTGGAATTGCTCATTCTCATTCCTGCCCATCCTGCAGATCTCAGCTTAAATCATATTTCTTCAGAAGTGTAGGGAGCATCTAGTGCTTTCACAGGTAACCCTTCATGGAATCTTCGCAGCCATCCCATGAAGTTGTAGAATTTTCCAGTTTTACCGAAGTCTTGAGTCGTTAGTTCAGTTGTGCAAAATCATACAGTAAGTCACCGAGTTAAATTTGCTCAAGCCTGTCTTTTTCACCTTTATCTCCTTCAGTATCTTTCTTTGTCATTAAACATTTTTTTGCTCAAATGGTTACGTCGTGTTTTGTAGGGTAGTATTGTCCTTTATTTAACAAGCCTCTTATTGATAGTTATTTAGGTGGATTTTTTTTGGGGGGAGGAACGTTGCTGTGATGAACAAGAGTATGATAAGTAGACAACATTGAAGCTAAATTTGCATAGAACTTCCTTGATTATTTTCTTAGAATAAATTCCCAGGAGTAGAATAGGGGTAAAGGTTATGACTTTTCAACAGGTTACAGTTTATGAAATAAATAAAAGCAGTTGCTCTTTTTAAAGTGTGATAAGAGATTTGTAAATGGCAAGAATAGTAATGGTGCCTACTTCATATTCTGAGGATCGGAGTTAATATATGTCCAATCATTCAGCACCGTGCCATTTACATTTTTTAAGAGCTCTGTAAATGTTTGTACTTATTCATTTATTTCAAAATAGGACTCTTACTACGTAGTGTGGTTTGTCAGCCTGATTGGGAAATGTTTTGAGACTCTGATGAACTCTTTGAAACCTCTTCCCCGAGATTCTCCTCCTCTCCCCAACAAAATGGCACATGTCATTGGTCATAAGTCTTCAGCTACCTTAGCTCAGCATATGGACCCAGATTAAGGACTGCTAATAGGTTCCACTTTACAAGTGCTTTTTCCCCTTTATAAGTTGCAAGTATTTACCTATGCTCTGAAATATTCTTCTAAAGCATGATTTTTTTCATGGCTGTATAATATTCATAATTTTTTAACCCGCCTGCCACTTTTGACATTTAGGTTAACATCCTTATACCTGAATCTTTGTTTTGCAGATTTCCTCAGACTAAATTTCTCAGTGCAGGCTCACTGCTCCATGAATGTTGGTTCTTATTGCCACATTGACTTAGGGAGAGTTCTAACCCGTACTCCCACCATTAGTGATGCCTTAGTTTCCTCTCATCATCTTGACTACCAAGTATTATTATATCAAGTTCAGTGTTTTTGTTCCTTTCTTAAACTTGTTCTTTACCATTGGTGTTTTCCTGTCATCCTTAAGCCCCTTGTTGACTATCATGTAGAAACGTGGTCTCTCAGCACTCGATACTAGCCGAGCTATCTGCATCCTGGCCTTGTGAAACAGGCTTGCGATGTGTTGTGATAACTGGGTTGAAGAAGTGCAATATTAAAACAAAAGCCGTGAGCTTTAAGCCCAGTGTGTAAAGACACACCCTGAGTTATAACTCAGTGGCACAACTGGAAAAAAGAAAAAGAAAAGAAGTAGAAATACGTCTTAAAGCAGTGGTCCTCAGCTTTTTCACAAGAGAATCACTGGTATGGGGAGCTTTTCAAATATTATGTCCAGACCCTCCCCAGACCAATTAATCAGTTTAAGTTCGTCAAGTGATTCTGGTGTGGGACAAAAGTTGAGAACCCCTGCTTTAGAATTTAGGGTGTTCTGTTTTCTTTTTCTTCATAAAAAGAAGAATTCGTGAAGACGGGGTTGATGAATGCCTTAAATTCAGACTTGGATTTATATAAGGATGAGTTTGTTTGTTTCACAATGGGACTTTTGCTTCATCTGCCTCAGGTGATTTCAGAGACGGTGGATATACTCTTCAGAATCAGAGGAGGCCTTGACCTAGCTTTCCAGCTAGCCACTGCGAATGGTAGGTCAGCCGAAAAGCTCTCCTTTTTCACTCTAAACTTGATGATGAACTAGACCGAGATTCTCACCAGTTTGCCCATGAAACTGTGCGGGAGGTAGGATGTATTGTCCAAGACCATGTAGTTAGTAAGTTATGTAACTTAGATTTAAACTTAAGACAGCGTGTTCCAACACCACCACCAACGGGACTCCTCTGTACAAATTCAAAACAGATGAGCTTAATAGATGAATCTTAACACTGTTGTGCTGAGTGGAAGAAGCCAGATACAAAAGGCCATGTAATACATGATTCCACTTATATGAAGTGTCCAAAATAGACAAACCTGTAAAGACAAAAAATAGATTAGCAATTGCCATTAATAAGTGTAGGGGGATGAGGAATGACCGCTGGTAGGTACAGAGTTTCTTTTGGGGTCATCAAGATCTTGTGGATTAGAGAGTGATGGTTATAAAACTTTGTGAATCCAGTAAAAGCACCTGAATTGTACTCATTCTAAGAACGAATCTTATGGCCTGTAAATTTTACCTCAGTTTTTTCAAAAGAAAGGCAACAATGTTGTATAATTATTGAATCTGGGGAATGGACATTTGGGAGCCAATTTGATTTCTACTTTTGTGTGTTTGGAAGCATTCACGTTGAAAAGCGTAAAACTTTTTCTCAGTAACTTCTTTTTACGTTCTTTTAATTTAGAAATTTTTGTCCAGAAGGCACTAAAACATGTGTTGTGTGACCTGTCAGCCAAGCTGTCCTCGAATGCACTGGTGTTCAGAATCCGCCACAGCTCGGTGTACGTGTGGCCTAACAGTGACACAAACACCATCCCAGGAGAACTGACGGATAGCTCTGCTTGCAAGACCCTGCTGCGCTTCGTCCAGTGAGTATGGTTGAAGATTGCTAGGAATGTTTCCAAAATGTCATTTCATATTCTAAGCATCTTTGTGTGTTAAACACTTAGATTTGAACAGGAAGAAGATACAAAACGAAAATTCATGAGGAAGAAAGACAAAAAGCTACCAGACGTGGTAAGCAAATCACCTGCCTTCCTCGTGGTAAACATTTTAAATCCTTGAATTTGGAGTTGAGATCTTAGGAATTATTTAAAAGATAAATGACATGCCAGGCATTATATCTCTTCTTTCATATCTAAACTTTGGTTCCATTATAATAGTTCTCTTCAGCTCTTTTGAATGTTTTCTTTATTCCCACAAAAACAAAACAGCTTAAACACATTTACAGATTTTTTAAAAGTAAATAAAAAGGACTCATTTTGAAACATGACAGTAACACATTATGCCATGTGAGATACTAGATAATTTACTTTTCTTCATACTGTTCTTAGTTCTGTTGATTTTTGAACCAATACTAATGACTACCTGCCTGCCATGTGCTACAAACTTTGTGTGATATTGGAGATTTTTTAAAAAATGGAGCTACTTGTGCAAGGCAGGAAGTCGTGTGAAATTAATTTACTGTCATGTTTCTCCAGGCCGGTAGAGGAAAATAGGGTGGACTGAGGTCGGTGAGGTGGGCCAGGGACACTTCAGGAGAAGCCGAACTACACTAGCAGCTAAGGCAATAGAGAGGAGGGAAAGACTAGAAGAGAATCTGGGGGATAACATAGATTACACTCGGAAACTAACTGGATATGGGATGACCATTTCTTGCTTGAGTAAAAATGGAAGTCGAGGTTGGTTTGGGTCATGTTTCAAATGCCAGTGAGGTGTCTACATGAGCTGTTGGTTTTACCAATCTGAAGTGTACACAGAAATCGTGGGCTGTAAGTAATTATTTGAGAATTACCGATATTTGGAGCTGGACATTTTGAGGAGTACTGGTCAGCTATTTTTTTTTAAATATATTTTATTAATTTTTTACAGAGAGGAAAGGAGAGGGACAGAGAGTTAGAAACATCGATGAGAGAGAAACATTGATCAGCTGCCTCCTGCACACCCCCTACTGGGGATATGCCTGCATCCAAGGTACATGCTCTTGACCGAAATTGAACCTGGGACCCTTCAGTCTGCAGGCCGACACTCTATCCACTGAGCCAAACCGGTTAGGGCTGGTCAGCTATTTTGTAGACTGTTTTAGTCTTCCTCCTGATTAAATGCAGGTTATCATTGTTGGAGGGAGTACCACATTGAATATTGAATATTGTGCTCTTCTTAGTACATCAGATTGAAGAGGTATGTGCTACCCTGGTGTTGGTGATAGTAACTTCAAACACTTAATGTGGCATCTGCAACTATTTTTCCCCTTATAATTAGGAAGTAGCTCGTGAGAAGATAATTCAAGACTATATATATGTCCTCTTCCTCATCAAATGCTACCTCTTCGAGCATCAGCTGATCATTTTTGCCAGAATCCAACATTAAGCTGATAGTTGCAAAGTGGCGCTTTTTCTGTCATTTCATATCCAAATGTTATATGTATTAGATGACAGGAAGACTATGAGGAGAGTTTTCCTTTTCCTTATTTATGGGTTATCTGCACAGAAGCATGGATTCTTATTTTATGAGTTATCATCTGTTACTGTTATTAGTTATTTGAGGCTCATTTTCCAAGATTTGACCAATAGAAACTTCTTCAAGAGAGCGCCAGCGGTTTTTGACACTATTTTTCAGAACCTCCTACCTTCTCCCACAAGCTGTTCAGGCACATCATGTGCTCTCCCTGATCCAACTCAGGAGTCAGCCATTCCTCCGAGGAGCATGCACATGCACAACCCATACTATTCATGTTCACACAGACACTCATGTTTATCTGTGTAAGTCATGTCTGTACCTCCAGTTCTGTTCCAGCCTCACACAGCTCCTAACCTTTTCCCTGTGAGAAGCCCGGCTTCCAGTAGCCTCGGCGTTTTTCTACATTTGTTCAATATACAAATGGTATTTTCATGCCAGACAGAACCAATCCTGGTAATAGAATTCAATATCTGTTTATAGTTCTCCATGTCTTTAGAGCAGGCATCCATAGTTTAAAAGTTCCTTCAGTGTGTGGTTATTGTGTCTTATTCATTGCATTTTTTTTAATTAAGTCCAGAGAATAATATAATGAACCCTGGTGAACCTATACCAGCTCTCATGTTTATCAGTACACAGTCAATCTGACTTCCTCTTAACTTCCCACTCACCCGTCACATCTCCTCAGGTTATTTTGAAGCAGAGAACAATTTTTTGTTAAGATTTGAGCGTTTAAACGACTTACTGTAGCTTCGGTCCTTAAAAAGTCCTTTTACTTAGCCCTTTTATAGTTAGTGTTCACTGTGCTGTAAGCTGACTGTGACTGTTTGTCTTTACAGCAGCAGGTGGTAAACATAGATCTCATGCTGGAGATGTCCACCTCCCAGACCGCCGTAACCCCCGTCATTGAGAGAGAAATTGGAGGACACCACTACGTCACCATGACGTTGCCGGTGGATGCCGTTGTGTCTGTTGCCCCCGAAGAAGCCTGGGGGAAGTAGGTATTCCAGAGTGCTCCTGCCCCAACGTGACAGAGGCCACTTCTGACTCTCATGTAGGCACATCCAGGGTGTGGTGGTAGTTTTCAGTGTGACTTCCTCCCTGCTTTTTAGTAAGAGACATCTGGTAATTAAGTATTTGGAGGAAATAGGGTTGTCTGTAACATGTATAAGGTTTTCCCTTTACCCAGAAGAAACGGAGTTTATTTAACCTTTTATAAGTTAGACTTCCTCTAATTAACGTGGCCCAGTCAAGTGAGGTTTTTGGTACCACATTAAGGATATATTAATTCCACATTCATTTCTCATTTATCAGAGCCGCTGTAACTTCTGTTAATGCACTTGTATGTTTTCCCCCACAGGGTTCGTAAACTTCTAGTGGATGCAATTCATAGTCAGCTGACTGATATGGAAAAGTGCATTTTGAAATATATGAAAGGAACCTCCATTGTGGTCCCTGAGCCGCTGCACTTTTTATTACCGGGGAGGAAAAACCTTGTAACAGTTTCATATCCATCGGGAATTCCGGACGGGCAGCTGCAGGCCTACAGAAAGGTGAGATCAGGTACTCTTAGAAAAAATAAGGCTGTCATCCATATCATAGTTAATTACATATTTCTAATCAAATTATTTTACGATTTACTAGTAATCTTAAAGTGTGAAGCCCGACTATTCATTTTACATATTATTTCATTTCTGTTCTCATGGAACTTATTTTAAGTATTTCGAGTGAAAAAGTATGTGAAACCCATATGTAACATTTGAATTTTATATGCTGAGTGTGGTTCATATGTCCTATGAAACTATTCAGTTTTCCATAATGAAATGAAGAATTGAAATGTGCTTCCATCCCTAGAGAATGTGATGAGTGTTAATAAATTCCTTTCCCTTTCATTCCTCCAAGAATTGTGAGAGATTACAGTTAGGGGAGGGCAGTCAGGATCCATGCTGACCCTAGTTAGGAGTGACAGTAATACTCACCCCCACCCCACCCCCACGCCCCCGGCTTCTTTGGTTTTATTAGAGGCCTTTGAAGAAAGCACAATCAGCACTCAAAGCCATGAGGCTTACTGACAAAGTGGCTGGCTTTAGCCATTGTCCGGCCACATCAGAGTCTCTTCCTGAGATG